ATAGTGTCATAGAATCATTTAGGCTGGAAAGGACCCTTAAAATTATTGAGCCCAACCATAAGCGTAACACTGCCAAGTCCACACTAAACCATGTCTCCAAATGTCACATCTATCCCTCCTTTAAATACAGAGACTGTGACTCAAATACTTTCCTGGGCAGCCTGTTCCAATCCTTGACAACCCTTTCAGTGAAGAAATTCTTCCTAATATCCAAACTAAACCTCCCCTTGAGCAACTAGATACCATTTTCTCTTGTTCTATCACTTGTCACAGGGGAAAAGAGACTGATCCTCGCCTCACTACAACCTCCTTTCAGGTAGTTTTAGAGAGTGATAAGGTCTCTCCTCAGCCTCCTTTTCTACAGGGTAAACAATCCCAGTTTAGTCAGCTGCTCCTTATAAAACCTGTTCTCTAGACTCTTTACCAGCTTCCTTGCCCTTCTTTGGAAATCCTCCAGCAAACTTCAATCTCTTTCTTGTACTGAAGGGTCCAAAATCAAAGACACAGTTTGAGGTGCAGCCTCACCAGTGCCGAGTACAGCGGGACAATCGCTTTCCTGGTCCTGCTGGACACAATACTCCTGATACAGGCCAGGATGCTGTTGGCCTTCTTGGCCATCTGGGCACAGGGTCAGCTCATGTTCAGCCAGCTGTCGACCAACTGCCCTAGGACCTTTTCTGCTGGGCAACATTCCAGCCCCTCTTTCCCAAGCCTGTAGGGTTGCCTGGGGTTGTTGTGACACTAATTGAACCTCATACTGGTCTTGGCCCATCCATCCCACTGAGATCCCAGCCTTCCCAGCTTCAAGAAGACCAATAGTTCCACCCAACTTGGTGTCATTTGCATACTTACTGAAGGTGTACTTTATTCTCTTGTCCAGGTCATTGATAGAGATATTAAACAGAACTGGACCCAATACTAGGCACTGGGGAACAACACCTGTGATCAGCCACCAGCAGAATTTAATTCCATTCATCACCATCCTTTGGGCCATGTAGCATGTACTACTATTTTAACTATGAGGTGATTTTGACTATTACTTGACAAGAATAAGAGATACTAGTATCTACGGATTTTAATGCATGTTTAAAACATCTTCTTTTCATGGAGTGTAAAATAACATTAATGCCGAAAGTCGTATTAATTCCAAAAAACATTGTATGGATTAGACTAGAATGCAAATAACAGTATAAATCGAAAATTCCCCACCAAATCCCCACTATTTGGACTTAATTAACTGTTTCAAAATTTATACAACAAAGTTATAGATACAGGAAAGCGATACATTAAAAAATGGAGTTGCTTCATACTTCTTTCATGAGAGTAGATTGGTAAATGTTGTACACACATGGATCTAACTGGCTTTGCTCTCCAGTCTTGCATTGTCAACTTAGTTATCTGTGTGCGTAACAACTAATTAAGAAGTTCAGCTTTGGTTTGTTTGTGTTTCAGTGATGAGCTTAGTCCAATTTAGGTCAATGGAGTGAAAATCTGAGAAAACCAAATTATAAAGCAGTTTCATTTAGGGGTGGTTTATAGCAGTTCTGTAACCAGCACACACTAAAGTAGGACACTGACAAAGTAAAATCAAGGCAGGCATTCAGGAGAGTCATTACACCTAGAGGTCCAGATGACTACCTTAAAAAAGCAATTTTTTATTTTGTCCTAGAGAAAAATCTTAAATATTGTTAACACTCTGACATGAAGGAGTGCTTGATGGAGAGGCCGAGAGGGATAAGAAATAGTATTTTTGGCAGAAAATCTTGTAAAAAGATATTTCCTGTTCAGTCCCCATGTGTTGCCTGCTCTAGTCAAGAGGTGGGTGGCATCCCTGGCGGCAGGGAGGCTGGATTAAAATGATCTCTAAGGTCCCTTCCAGCTTAGGCCATTCTATGATTCTCATAAGTGAACAGGTGGCTCGGACTAGGAGTTTAAAATAAATGTTTTTATGACTTCCATTGTGGAAAATTTTTTCTTGATTTGATTAGCATAATTTTATAGCAGAGCATGTTTGTAGAGAACTTTGTGTTCAACTAGAAATGAAAATGTGTTTGTATCCATTATGGAGGATTTTGTATGTGTTAATGGTTGTTTTCATATTATCCCCTTAAATTACTAACTTACTGCTTCACTTTAAAAAAAGCCCAGCAAAAACAACTTACCATTTAAAATCTTAGTATTCTGCAGCATAAACACGTAAGTTTGCTGACAACACCAAGCTGTGTGGAGTGGCTGACACCCTGGAGTGTAGGGATGCTGTCCAGAGGGACCTCAACAGGCAGAGGAGGTGGGCCCAGGCCAACCTCATGAAATTCAGCAAGACCAAGTGCAAGGTCCTCTGTCGGGGCTGGAGCAATCCCAAGCACTGATATAGGCTGGGCAGTGATTGGCTTGAGAGCATCCCTGAAGAAAAGGACTTGAGGGTACTGGTGGACAAGAAGCTCAATATGAGCCACCAGTGTGCACTCACAGCCCAGAAAGCCAATCGAGTTCTGGACTAGCGTGGCCAACAGGTTGAGGGTGGTGATTCTACCCCTCTACTCTGCTCTGATGAGGCCCCACCTGGAGTACTGCGTCCAGTTCTGGAGTCCACAGCACAAGAAAGATATGGACGTGCTGGAGTGTGTCCAGAGAAGGGCCACAAGGATGATCAGAGGGCTGGAGCACCTCTCCTATGAAGACAGACTGAGAGAGTGGGGGTTGTTCAGTCTGCAGAAAAGAAGGCTCCGAGGAGACCTTATTGTGGCCTTCCAGTATCTTAAGGAGGCCTGCAAGAAAGCTGATGAGGGGCTTTTTAGGATGTCAGGTAGTGATAGGACTAGAGGGAATGGATTGAAGCTAGAGATGGATCAGTTTAGATTGGACGTTAGCAAGAAGTTTATCACCATGAGGGTGGTGAGACACTGGCACAGGTTGCCCAGAGGAGGTGGTGGAAGCCCCATCCCTGGAAGTTTTTAAGGCCAGGCTGGATGGGGCTATGGGCAACATGGTCTAGTGGGGGATGTCCTTGCCCACGGCAGGGGGGTTGGAACTAGATGGTCTTTAAGGTCCCTTCTGACCCTGACAATTCTATGATTCTATGATTCTAAGTGGTAATTGAAAATACAGGCTTTCTATGACTCTGTAGGTTTTATTTCAGTATTTTTTTCAAGAATGGATGCCAATACTTCAATTACCTAGTGATGGAAGTGGTGGAAGGAGATTTTCCTCTTGAATCCACAGTATAATGCTGATTTAGGAGACTGGTATATACCCAGTTTATTGATTGATTTTAGTGGCTTTTACAGTACTGCTCCAGCACTGACCGCTGAGTTTGTGAGGAAGCTGCCATCTGCTGTAAAGACTGCCTTATATCTCCTGAGTTTGCAACAAGATTTTAATTCCTGAGAACATGGTTTAAAAAGGGATTCTTGGACACAGTTTTCCTGAAGCAGAAAACATGTTTTCCCTGACTGAAATGTAAGAGTAGAATTTTTTGAGAATCAAAATAGAAGAATGAGATGTGACTGCTGAGCCAGAAAATCTCAGAAGGACTCAGAGTGACAGAAAGCAAGCTCAGTCAGCGTCAAAGTTAGCTAATGGACAGAAGAATCATACTCCAAAAATACAGAATATAAATGTGGTCCAGAACTATAGAATAGAGAATAAGCTATCTAGGGATCTAGGGCCTTAAGAGAGACTGACTAAAGTGTTCCCTGAGGAACACTTTAAGTGGTAAATAGGTGGTATATGTGGAAGGACTGAGGGATGGATATATTGTCTGTTTCATCTGAATCTGTGCACAACTTTTTTTTGCCCCAGACAAAAAAAAAGTGATTCTATTTGAATTCGTGTCATTGTGTGTAGCTTTCTACTTCTGTCAACCAGCATCTTTGAAGGAGAAAATAAGAACTCTGGTGGGGAAAGGCAAGCTGAAATGCTGGGGTGGTCAGATGAACTAGCAATGGTCCTGATCTCTCATCACCCGGGTTTAGGTATGAGCACTTGGAAGGTGGGAGATATTTTTTCCTTTTCAGAGAGGGAAATCTCTGAGAGTGAAAGCTAAATTCAGCAGCACAATTTTACACCATCGGAGCCTTTGTACTGTGAGCTAAAGAAACTGGTGCAGTGGCTGTCTAGTGGGCAAAGGTTTTGACAGGTATTCAAATGACAGTATGAAGACCTGCAGTTACTAAATATACACAGTATTTTTAAAGATATTGAGATTTTTAATCATGAGCTAAAAAAATATGACGTGGCTAATAGCCTTCTTCACACGTAATTTTAATTCTCCTTTATCATAACTCCACCACTATTCTGCCAATGCCACTGCTAGCTTTTGGAGTTCAACATAATCTTTTGCTTGCTTACATGAAATATATGAGCTGAAGATATAAGCATGAGTATTAATTTCACTTTGTGAACTTATCTGTAGCATTTCTGGAGACATATGCATCACAATTAACATTTTCCAACAGTTTATATTTTGCTTAGAGTAATACCTAATATACAATGTTTTGCAATCATCTAGTGCAATGATAAAGTAGTTATAAAGTGCATACACTGACAGCTAAGAATTCTTACTCTGTTTTCCAGTGTTTTAGATCAGGATTTTTAGCCTTTAGGGCACACTTTCTCAATAGGGGCACACATGGAAGTCATACTTGTAAATGAAAATTAGATGAAATGGAGGAAATATTAGCATGCTCTTGTTCTCATATGTTTATTGTTTTAATCTGTGGACATTATGCTTTTTAAAAACAATTTAAAAATATTTCTTCTATATTTGTATCACCTGCATATTATTTAACTTCTTTATAAGCAAAATTTCAATCTACGCTTCTAAGAAATGATTCTGAAAAATGTACAGTTAGAGACCATATATGCAGAAATTCTGAAGAGTTGAATTAAATCTAGTCTTGAGAAGTGTAGACACAGGTGAACCAGGGCTCTAGCATATACATATCTCCAAAATGCAAAAAGAAAATTAATTTCTCTTAAGTAGCAACAATTTATGTGAGATGGAACCAGTAGGAATAATAGTTTCTGAGTGGCACAGACGGGCAGTAGCTGAACTGAGAAAGAAAGTCACTGTGACTAAAAATATGTGGTAACACTAAATGGATGTAGATAGATCTCAGAGGTCCAAAAGTGTTTGGATTAGAGCAGATGAATGAAGTTATTTGTTCTGTTTGCACTACAGATGACTAGTCTTCTGTGAAGTACAAAATCTCAGAGGTTTTCTTTCTAAACATTACTAAGGGAACAAGATTCTACAAGACTTTGTGAGGAGTTAAACCACGTGAAAAATTACATGCTATAGTATAGACAATATCAAATTTACCATAGGATCATCTGTAACTCTTTTTTTGTCCCAATATTCCAGGGAGGCCCAGGTTTTTGTTGAAAAGTTTGAAGGTGCTCTTGGAAAAGGAAAAGGGAAAAAATTCTACGCATACAAAGTGATGATGACTAAGGTAAATTTATTATTTCCCTAAGTTCATGTAGAGCAAATGAGGAGCCTCTTCCAGATTATTGCCAAAAGTATGTATCTTCCAAAATAGAGCTCCTTGCCTTTCTTTGCATTTTTTATTTCCACTACTTTCATGCGAAAAGATTTGTAATGCAAGGTCACAGTTTGATTGAGACTTGTCATCAAAACAAAAATCAAGTGGTTTGCAAGAGTTTTCAAGAATATCTTGTGAAAGTTAATTTCTCTTGGTTTAGATTTGTTTTGTAGACTGAATCCAAAGTTCAGTCTTTTCTTGAAAGAGCCCTCTGTCAAGGAACAGAAAATGTCTTTTTACCCCACAGCAAAAAACCTGTAGTCATCTCCATTCAGCCAAAGCTCTAGAACCACTTATATCCTAGGAAGAAATGTGGGTCTGTAGGACTGTGACTGAAAGGCTGAACATTGCTTGCTGAGGAACCAGTGTCCACCAAACATGCGTTCTGCCAGGTCTTTGGGATAAATCTTCTTTGGTTCCAAAGACTAAATATCCAGTAGCAGTGGATGTAGATTAGTATGTATCTCAAGTACACTTCTCAAGTACATCTTTTGGCTTAGTTTTATACTCTGACAATCCTTTACAGTGTAAATATAAGTGTGATAAGTTGGAATCGTTTGTGAGATTCACTTCAGAAGCATGCTCTTGCCACAAATTAAAATGCTGATGCAGAACGATGCTGAGAATATTTGGCAAGGCTACTTGACATGGCTAAGTTTATACTTTGTTATACTGGATTTTCTGCAAGCAGTTGTGTAGTCATATGTCATAAGCATTAACATTCACAAATATAATCAGGCTTTCCAATTCAGCTGGGCACAGGAAGCTCAATTACAGAATTTATACTTATCCAACAGATAAACTACTGGGTAGAGCAATTGTAATTGAATGATACAGCTGGAGTTCCAGATCTGAATTTTGAATAGCAGAAGGAAGGATAAATTGAATTCTCAAAAATCTTTCTTAAAAAAATGATTGGTGTGAAAGGAAGAAATAATTTAGCTATTCTTCTTGTGAAAGAAATAGGGACTTCACACAAAGCCAGCAGGAGACATATTCAGAACAAGCAAAAGGAGATGGCTCTTCATAAGGTAGACACACGTCTGTTGCAGGGGGTTCTTCCAAAGGACACTGTGGGTGATTGAGGGGTTGCATTAGCTCAAGGGGAAACTGAGCGTCTGGGCACTGATGATGGGGTTTTTCATCTGTGATCATTTTTAGAAATGGATGAAATTTCAAAGAGATTTTGAGAATTTTAAGACAGCCTGCATACCCTGGGAAATGAAGATTAAGGAGATTGAAAGTAAGTATCATAGAATCATAGAATGGCCTAGGCTGGAAAGGACCTTAGAGATCATCTAGTTCAACCTCCCTGTTTTGGGCAGGGACGCCACCTATCCACTAGACCTGGCAACACATGGGGACCGAGCGGGAATCGAACCCGCGACCTCGGTGTTGATCCTTGTTGCCAGCACCGCGCTCAAACCACTGAGCTAACCGGCCCCCTAAGTACTTACAGAAGGTGAAAAAAATAGCATCAAGTATCATATTCCTGATGTATGCCAAAATGACAAATAACTTTAGTTCTTTAGAAATACATGTCTGTATTCAATGTGTAGTATAAAATCAATGAATATTTGTTTTCATTAATATTTATTGAGTTTGATATTATAGCTAGTTGAAAGAGAGAGTATTAGTCACCCTACAGATAAAACTCCTCAATACACAGCTAACAGCTCAGGAGCCAGTGTTGAAGTCAGTCATAGAAAAATGGAACTGGGCTTTAACTGCTACCTGCTTGCACTTTATTTTGTCTGTATGCATGCTATAATTGTTTTTTTGATGTTTTTTCGTCATCTTGAGACTTAACCCTGTTTTTGGAGTTATTTCTCCCATTTTCAACCATAAAATATAACACACAGAAAACAATACTGATTTTGATTTTCCTCATATATTAGTCATAAATACAATAGAACAGTAGTTAGTACTATGGATATGCGTGAGAGTAGGTTTTCTGGCACAAGCTGGTTTTATATTTCAGTTCCAGTGATGAATTTAAACTGCAGTCCTCTCTTTGAAGGATATTTGGCTTAACTGTATGGGTACCTGAGCGAGGATCTGCCACTGATGAAATGCCAATGAAAGTGCAATGGAAATTGATCTTCGAGCAGTTGCTTTTGGAATAAGCTGTCAGTAGCATCAAAAGCCAATATCCAGAAGAACAGTAAAATGATAAACTTTGAATTTTGTGGAATTTTGGACTGCAAAATAATCCTTGAGGAGGAATTGTATAACGTCCTAAAACTGATGGTCTACAGACTTCTGACCAGATTGTCTACACACTTGAGGCAGAGTTTAGAAAAGAGCTGCTCATATGTGTGGTTAAACTCAGCAGCAGGATGCTTACTGGTCTCGATGTATAATAGTAATAACTTCCAACAGACATGTTTCTTTCCTTGTAAAATCAGAATATAAAAATAAAAAAGGATCATTTTTCCAGTCCTGCATTTATATATCTTTATTTTTTCATTTGAAATGAGTCACATTTTGGCTGTCACCTGGAAGTTCCTAAAATCAGAGTGAGATAGTATCTTTTCTTAATCTCAAGGGGAAAGACTGTAATTTTTTTCCTGTTACTTTTTGTTCGGTGCAACATATTGATAAGGCAAACTGCAAGTGCTTTTACTTGCAGAGGCAAACCTCAGTCTGAATACCAGTAATTTAAGAAGTTCAGTTAAACCACAGTTTGGTCCAAAATTCTACAGTCTAGAATAAGGCTTGATTTCAAGGGACCCCTTCTGAAGTATTGCTGAGGAAAAGAATTCTAAGTCACAATTTATTTGATTCTGCTTAATTCAAGCAGTAGGATTAGCATGTATTTCATATCTGTGAATTTGCAGAACTAAGATCAAGGTTATCTTAACGACCATGCTGTTAATGCTGCCAAGTCACAGAAAAAAGAGGGCTTAGATATTAAAAAAGGAGAAGTAAGGGAAAGTGTAAAGCAGTCTGTATATAAGGGAAGAATACAGTTTAAGATACATTGAGTCACAGAGACCAGAAAACTTCAACCTTTTTCTAGAAACTTAACCATATTTCAAATTTATATGTAGTTAGGATGTGTACTACGTTACTTATATTGTATCAAGTTTAATCAAAGCGAAAAAGTTATCCTCTGTTTCTTGGAATTTAACAAACTGTTGATGTTGAGTTAAGGGTTGTGTTGCATTTTCCAAATTTCAGATTAGCAGAGTCTGTATGAGATCAATTGTTAAAGCAGTTTTTATCTAATATCCAATTTTAATCTAATCTCTAATTTTTAATCAAAATCTCCATATTTGATCAGAGATCAAATACAGAACATAGTGAAGGAGCAGCCACCTTTTCAGTAGAGTCAACTTCAAGCTTGTATGTGTAATCTTCAAGGAATGAAATGTTCTTAAAGATTGCTGTCTTCAGACACACAGTTGTGTTAAAAAAGCGGACTCAGAAAATCTGGAATGGGAAGTATATTTCCAGATAGCTCCAAATTGATCAAGGATCAGTTTGACTCCTCACACCACTGGCTTAGTTTTTTTTGGGCTCAGTTTATCCCCTTGTAAGGTGGCAATAACACTATTGACTTAAACACATGATATCAGACAAAGAATATAATATGCCTGATATTGCTTTTGATGAATTTGGCAGAAAAATATCTTTGATTGCTTAAGACTTGACATAAGACTTGCTAAATGCAGGACATTTAACATTTTAGAGAATCTTGTTGGCATGGGCAAGAACTCACCTGTAATTACTGGCTTCCTCAATCCACCCAGAGTACTGAGGAGTGGTTGAAAAAAATAATTGAATGCTAGGCTTGGACATTAGCATCAATAGTTAAATAAAGACACTGTTGTTGGACAGTATTGTTTGTGGTGAGGCCTCAGTCATGTCAGTTCCCATGGGTTGCAGTCTCATTTGTCAAGATATGCTTTCATAAAGGAAATTGGAGGGCACACTGTCTACAAGATGACTAATTTTTGCAGGAGACAGTGCAATGATACAAGTAGGAAATGACATCACATTGTGACAGGTAAAGTAGGCTGTTCGGACCACTCTTAGAAATCCGATGATGCAAAATACACTGACTCAGTTCTCCACCACATAATTTTGTCTGTAAAATTGCTTTCCATGTCACTACACAGTTTACTATTTTTAAACTGATGTCTGGAAATGAAATGTTCACGGCTAGCTTCTGCTTCTGACAGACAGGATTATAGTTAGATGAGCAGTCTCTTAGTCCCAAGAAACCCTATATAATTCCCTAAGATCACCGCTATAAGCTATTTTCTTCCCAAAGACAGACACTAATAACAGAAGTGTGAGTATTAATGAGTTATAAGAAGAGGCCATGTCACCTAAAAGAGAAGCAAGAATTTATGTAATTTCAAGTTCTACTTGAATATTTCATGATCCTCAATAAAAGAAAGTGTAAACAGCAGGCACTGATACTTATGTACAGATTACTCTGTATAGGAAACCTCTTCATTTAGCTAAATGTCTCTGTGTGAAAGAACAGTTTATGTTCAGCAAATATTTACAGCTGTTAGATTCCAGTCAGTTAACTTCACAACATAAGACATCTTTGTGCTTTAATGCAAAGACGATTTGCATTTTCTGATCTCAAAGTGAGGTCTTTATTAAAAAATCCCAAGCAAACACAGCAGGACCTGTTTACAGTGGAAAATAGGGAAAGTAAGTATAATTTTCGGACCACTGGGAAACACTAATGTTTATACTTCAATCCTTCTAAAAAACTACACCTGAACAACCAAACATGATTCGTCCAAAGGAAAACAGTTTCAGAACACTAACAATCTTTGTCCTATAAATTAGCATTAGTGCAGGACTATCATGATACCTACTTTGAAATCTAGATAATCAACAAAGCAAATAAGAATGGCAAATACATGTCTTGTTTGTCATGCAGTTCACATGAAATAGAGTTAACATGAAATAGTGACTCTTTTTTAGAAAATCTGAAATACTGTATCATTGTTGAGTGAAGCAAACTTCATGAGAACAATAGAACTGCTAAAATCACTTTAAGTCTAATGGGATAACATAGCTTTAGAAAAAAAGAGGCCAAATGAATGTGCTGGACTGAAGCAAGAGGCACACATGTCTGGCAATGCTACTGAACTGAAAAGTTCCTTGGCCCATTACTTACACACTAGAAGGACCTGGGAAGAGAATGCTTCATACTGAGCAAATTCTCTGTATCTGGAGTTGTGTTGGTACACCTGGGATATCTCAATGTGAAAGACACGACTTTCATCAAGCTGGTATTTTGTTAATTCTGACAGGTGAATATGACTGCCAGCTGTCTTGTATTCAGCAGATCTCTGCTGCAGCAAGCTGGAGTTGAGTTTGAACTGTTAATTTTGTTTGGCTTTGCTTGCAGAGTCTTGGCCAAATTGACCACTTAGTGCTCACTGCTTCCCTTGCAGCATTTTCTTTTTCACACAGGTCTGGGGTAAGGATCTAGAGAAGATGGAGTCCAAGGCTTCATCTGTGCACGTGATGATGGGGCTGTGTCCACACCTGGGTGCAGGTGGAACACTTAAATAGCAAAGAATGAGCAAGAAATGGTACAGATGCTTGCAGATCTTTTTGTTTTTGTGGACAGCTGTGGTGAGCACTCCAATAACAGCACTTACAAGTGTTTTGTGACCTTACGCCCACTGGCTAATTGTGTGCTGCTTCCTATTAAAAGTGAGCTAGTGTTATCTTACTGTGTCAAGAATGCTTACAATTCACATCAGAGAGAGAGAGGAAAAAAAAAAAAAGGAAAATTGTGATTTGCTTTGAATTCTACCACTGGAAGATTTAATATTAGTAAATATTTCCATCACCCTAAATACACTTTATAAATAATTCCTTTACATTTTTTTGTTTATTTTTTTTCTGCCAGGTCAGTGAAAGCTGACATACAGTCTGAAAAAAAGGTATTATGTTATTAAAAAAAAGTTATTATGGTGATAAAGAAAAGGAAAAGCCTCCTCTGATTTTATGTATTTCAAATAAACTTGGAGTGTCTTCATCTTGAGGTAAAATAATGTAAGAGGACTAATTTATCTACTCTTTTTCCATAGGTCACTTTGGCTCATCAGTAGCATCTTACTTCATATTCTTGAGATGGATGTATGGAATAAACATGATTCTCTTTGGACTGACCTTTGGACTCGTAATGGTGCCTGAGGTGGGAATCTTTTTAATTATCATTGGGAGTTACGTGAACTTCTGTCTTTGCAGTGAGATTTCATAGGAGTGGACCTTGAAATAAATGTATAATCTCCTTATGCTCCATTTAAAAGTACTAAGGTGTACAAGGGCTGTAAAAACATACTTTCTTTGTGGACAGTTTTCTCTGTAGAGAGATTTCTTGAAATAAACATGACAGAAAAATATCTATAGGTTTGTATCCTGAAAGTGTTTTCCCATGGTCTGGTGCTAAACTTTTTTTTTTTCTTTTTTAGAACTAAGGAGAGGAACTGAGACTAAGAAGTAGATTAACTTGCCTAAAATAAGAAAATATATATTTCAATAAAAAGATATGTTCCAGGCCTCTAAGGCACATGTAACCTACTCACTTACCTTAATATTGACATACTGAAAAAGCCTAATAGAGCTGTAAAGCCATGAGAGAGATCCCTCATGTTCTGCGCTACATGCAACATCACTGATAATAATGCTGTTCATAGAAGATGTAATTCATGCAGGACCTATATGGAATTAAAAGTATTGTGCCATCTTCCTGATCGCACTGTCCTTTTACTTATCTTCTAGCAAGCAGATGGGAAAAAGTCAGGTAGGAACTTCCAATAGCTTCTTAGTACAGAATCCATCTTCTGTTGAAACAAAACAGAATATGCCCAGCAGTTTTCAGGGTAGAGCCTAGAAAGAACCTTGTGAGGACATATACCATGGCTAAGCAAGCATCTTGTCAGCAGCATTGGGACTCTTAGAATCAAAAAACTGAATGCCTAGCATCTTCGCATACATTTCTATTAAAAAAATCAATAAAATCCATAGTGCGAGAAAACTGAATCTTTGGGTATGGTCTTTAAGACAAACACCACTCATCAGAGGAGTCTGGACTTCTATTTTGCCTTTGAATGGAAAAGGCAGTTTGACAATCCACTGACACTAATGAAACATCACTTTAAATTTAAAAACCACCATTAATACATACTTTAAGCATGGTTTCAGTCATTGACATGAGGACCAATGAAAAGAACTGGAGTAGTAGGTCTTCGTCACAAAAGAGTTTAGAGCATAAAACAAAGTCTTCCTATGAAATGACAGATCACTGTTCCTTTCCTGTGTTGATATTTTACTTTAAAATGTAAATTGCTCTCACTTTTCATTTTAGGCTTTGATGGGGAAGCCATATGGCTCTTTACCTAGAAAAACTGTCCCAAGAGCTGAAGAAGCAAGTGCTATGAACTTTGCTACTCTCTGGGATTTTAGTGTAAGTGCACAAACTTGCAATACTGTATATTCACTTGACTGATTATTATGGGCTTTAACTTCATTATTTAATATTCATAGACTTAAGATGTAATATTTCAGAGAAAATGGAAATAGAATTAATTTACATGGGTTTTCTTCACAAATTTCAAGTACAGATATTCCCTTTAGACAAATCATATAATGAAACTCAGTGTCCATATGCACATTTTGGTATATGTAGCAATCCATGAACAGGGGGAAAAGTCTCAAAGCTGGGTTCACATTTCTGGGTAGTGACTTTCTATTTCCTATGGGAGAATTTGGTGCTCTGTTTTTCGTATGATTAAAGTTCTGAATTTGAAGACTGATGTGAATTAGAAAAAAAGAAAAGGAATTCCAAAAATATGTTCTGCAGGCCATTTCTAAAACAAAGAATGCTATTTTTAGTTTTTCACATCCTTAACAATATGCAGATATTTTAGATGGTTTGAGAAGCATGTCTTAATTCTTTTTCATTGATGTGATTCCCAGTCTAGCCTGAGGGTCTGTACTTCCTTCACTGACAAATAATGGCAAAAAGTTTTGTCTCATTTTACATGTGGCACATCTCTGTAGTCAGTGTCTTTATATGCAGATGATACAACTTCGATAAAGTCAGATGATGATAGATTTGATATTTTCAATATGTTGCTTAGAAGGATGTTAAGTTTCACTTTGATGTAGAGTCCTCAAAAGGTACTCTTCCCCTGTAAAAAATTGCAGCTACCTAGTTAAGGTTCTCTTTCAGATTAAAGGAAGCAATATCCACTGAATTAAATATGTTTTCTCCCTCAATATTCTGTATTCTTTCTCTTCTGTAAGAACTACCAAGACTTTTAAAGAGATGGGCATATACTTATCTTTTAGCACTTGAGTTGTTTTAGCAATGGCAAGCATGAATATGATGCTGGAAGCAGATCAGTTTTTTTTGAAAAATAAGATCAAGCAGAGATTCCTCCAATTTACAGCTCAACCTCTCCAGCTGCCAGTAGAATGACTCACCTAAAAGTGGCCTTTCCATGTAGGTTTGGCCAAACAGAGTTCCCATTCCACCTGTGCCCATGGGGAAAACTGCACAGGCAATCTGAGGAGGTACACAGGGATATTTTCATACCTGTCCCCTTTCCAACAGGAGCCTAGTTCTGATATGTCTTGAAAAAACATAGAAAGGGTACAGTGTTTATGCTTCTTATTAATATTGCCATTTCTTTGTATGGTTAAGATGTGGAGAGATCTCTAATCTTCCGACATGGAATTCTCAAACCGAATCTGTTTGTTTGTGGCTCAATACCTTCATGTACAGATTCAGATGGTCCCAGATTTTTGTTCTTTATTTAGCTTTCTTGGCTTTATTTTCAGTCTTCACCTATTAGTGGAGGAAGAATCAGGTTGTAGGATGACAGAACAACAGAATAAAACTTGACTGAGAAGACTTTTATACAGCAAATGGGAACAAAGTTTTTCCAAGAAGTATATCTGAGAAAAAATGAATGAAAACAGATGGTGGAAAGAGAGGGGAAATTTATAGTAACTGTCAGAAGCAGGATCTGACAGGTCTGAAGAAGAAAATTTAGTAAGTAACAGAGTAGCAGTTTATACAAGGAACAAATGTGAAAGTAATAAATGTAGAATAGGGCAATTAAAGTCATGGATCCCCTGAAATACCAAGGGGAAAACGAATTCTCTTGAGGTGAGTCAAATCAACAAATACTTCCTGAAGACAATGACATCTTTAATTAAACAGCACAGAATATACTACATCAGCAGTTCCTGTATGCTACAAAGTGGGTTGCATACAAATCAACTCACACCAGCAAACATTATTTCATCCTAAAAAAACACCCAAACCCCACCAGTCGTGAAAATTGTAAAGAAGAGATGAACTCAATGTATCTTTTACTTTTTTGCACTTGAAATTTTACTCATTTTACTGACATGGAAAAGAGACAGTTATGCATTTTGATATACTTTACTTGGAATTCAGTTTCAACACTATGTGTTTTACAGTTCAGATAATAATCCGAATCTAGAAGAATCAGACTCTCAAGGCTCATTACAATAAAGCATTTGATCAACATTCTTGTCTCACTCCTGTTTTATGTTAGGCTCAGAAAGGAGTGAAAGAGATCATCTGTGCATGCCTACCTTTACACAGCTAAAGATATTTCAAGCCTCTTGGTAAAATGCAGTAAGCAAAGCCCAAGAAACAACACACTGAATGACATGCAATGGAGGAATTATCTCTGACTTTGGAAAACAAAGCTGTGTTAAGATGTGTTGAAACCTGAGCTAAAATGGAATTATAGGATGCTTTAATGAGCAAAAAGATGCAAAATATATACTACTGAATTTGAGTGTGTCATGACTAATTTAGTAGTAGTAATAAATGTGTTCTATAAGAGTGTTACATTTACTAGAGAAGAACTTACTACTACCCCATGTATAGGCACATCTCTTGAAGATAGCCTGATATGAAGAAAAATTGGATATGTTGATTACCAAATCAAGACATTTTGAATGATATTTCTGTTTATTATACACTGGTATTGCACTTTCAGCTTAGAATTGTGAAATGGGTTTTCCAGATAATACTGTGACTCACTTCATATAAAGTAAAAGCCACAATAGGTTAAGCACATGTTTTGCAACAATATATAAGAGAAAAATGCAACTGAAAAGTGGAAGTGAAGAAAACAGCTTTTTTAAATCACAAACCCCACTTACTGTACTAGTGTCAAAGTAATGCATAGTCTATCCACCTATTACATTGGCAAATACTCTGCATCTCACTTGAAATCATTACATCCATCTGGAGCTTTGCCACTGCTGTACTTGCGCTGGCCTGTCCATGTAAAGACGCTAGATACAGTTACTTTCTAGATGAGAATTCTTACTCTAACCTGAGGATTATCAGTAAGCTTTGGTTATTTGGATGATTTTAGACATCAACTTTTTTTTTTTCAGTTACTAATGTACTAACTAGTCAATTGTTTTGAAAAAATAACTCCTAAAATAGAGTTTAATTTGCACTAAAATTTTTAGAAAAGCAGGTACACTAAGAAAGAGGGTACACTTACACTGCAGTTTTTACAGTCTTGGGGTCCAAGTGTTAAAACCCTACATACTGAATACTCACCCATAAAACAATAGTAACTATTGGTTAGTGTATATTGAATGATCACCTAATGAACAGCAGACAACATTGCTAGACAGAGAGGGTGTATGAGAATTTTATATCAATTAGGTTATGCAAGTAAACTTTAGAAATGTGAAAATCAAGTTAAAAGTCTGGCATTTTATCTGCAAGTAATTTATAAAACAGATTTTGTTAACGGGAACATTTTTCCCTTTATAAAAAGAAGCATGTGGATGAGAGTTTTGACACTTTAAATCATAGATGGAGTGCCCATGAAGACTTTTAAATGTAAAAGATTTGAAAGTTTATATGAAATACTCCAAATCTTTCTCAATAAAAGATTTTCCATCCTTGTAAAGCTTACAACTGTTCTGAATACATTGAAGTTAATGTTTCAGCACATCACTATTGGAATTTCTGATTATGTGCATATTTAATAGAATTGACAGTATAATTTTTGCTGACTTTTCAGGGCTTTGCACAGTATTCTGTACTATTTTATGGTTATTACAATAACCAGAGGACAATTGGGTGGCTCAAATTCAGGATGCCTCTTTCGTATTTCCTTGTTGGAGTTGGGACTATTGGCTACAGCTTTATGATTGTCATTCGAACGTAAGTTCTCCTTGGCTCGGGAATAAAGTACCTTCAAAGAGGCAGACATTTACACTGTTGACCTCTGAGACTCTAATTTTTAAATACATGAGAATTGTAAGGGTGGGACAGTGCAAGATCAAGTGCAAGGTCAAAGTCATGTAAGATTCCTTTAGATTATATTTATTTATCTATTGTTCTACACCTGCAGCTGTGTTGCACTGTTGTAGAAGTAGAAAGAAATCTTTACTGAAATAACAAAACACTTACGTACTGGAACTTCAAAATGAAAAAATACATAAAGTAAGAAACAGCACTGCCAACCCACCTTATCACAATACTATGCATCTAGCACAATGTCTGCTAATAACCAGGAAATTCAATTGTTTTTCCTTTAGTGATACCTTATGTGAGTTAAATTCTTTTATGAATGAGGAAAACCAGAGAAAAAGAAATGCATGGCAAATAATTCTATGGGTAACTCACACTCAGCAGTTAATGATTCTCAGCAAGACTATTGTGGTTAGGTCACACTTGCACAGTGGCATAGAGGAATTAATGCTACTGGCCTTAGTAAGGGTTTAATGTCCCACAGATCTCAAAACAATCTCCAGTAGTGTGAAAACTATGCTTAATATAATGTTAAGAACCTAATGTTAAAACAGTAGGAAGCATAGGGTAAGTGAAATAAGGCCTAGGCAGTACAACTGGTAATATATTGGTTCTCAAACACTGGACTTGAGTTTTGTCTTAGGATCAGAATGAAATAAAATTGCTATGGTAATGGATTATGACAGCTCAGAAGGAATTTCTTGTCTTACTATTCTCTTAGTAGATTTGAGAATATGTATTTTACTGAACTGCTAAAGTGTGTAGAATGCATTGAGATTAATAACACAACTCTGCTGCATTAGTGAGCTTTAGTACATGCGTTGCCTTTTCCTGATCAGAACATGAATACAATACTGAAGGCTAAATGAAAATCCAGTATACTCAATCCTTATACTTAATGGTTTGAATTGAATGATAAAGTATGCAGAAGCAAGACCACCATTATTACGTAAATGACAGCACTTTGAAACAGAGAATTTAGTCGTCAAGATTCAGTCAAATCACAGAAGAAATAATTTGATGTCTGTGAATGCTGTTATAAATCTTGTTTATAAGTGCGCAGGTGCATACAAGATGAAAGGGAAGATAAAAAGCTGTGTTAGTGATATTTTGTATAGTATAATCAGGTTTTCTTCTGGCTCGTTATTTTAGAATTATTTTTTTTCTCATTGTGAAGTCTCTAATAAAGTTTATTGCAGTTCAGGAAGCTCTGCAGATTTCTCTTTGAGAAGTCTTCTTGATATTGTTCTCCTGTTGAATTTCCTATCCAGCAGAGTTTCTCTAAGGTTTAATGAAATAAATGCATTCTTTCCATCAAAATGTTTGCTCTAACCTCATAAATTCTCTAAATATGAAAATCTCCATCCTTCTCTCTTGCTTCAGACTGAATATTCCAATTTAGTATAACATAACTGACAGCAATAATAAGTTTCTTTTCCAGAACAATGTTAGAAATTAGGAACAATTTACAAATTATGCTCACATAACAGAATTAACTCCAACAAGTTCTTCCTGTATCTTTCTACCTTTTGTAGAATGGCAAGGAATGCAAATGAAGAAGGTGGTGGGGATGATACTAGCTTTAATTTCAGCTGGAAAATGTTCACAAGCTGGGACTACCTGATTGGCAATCCTGAGACAGCAGATAATAAGTTTGCCTCCATCACAACAAGCTTTAAGGTAAAATAGAGGTCAATAAGAAAAGGTAACCTGATTTGCCTTTCACGCTGACATGAATTAGACGAAACCAAGTTCAAGCACTAGCTGTGTCTGCAGTGCAGAAGCTTGAACCAGAATTGGCAGTGTTATACCCATCTGAGTCTGGGTCTTTGTGCCTCACCATCTTAATTTTTTTCTTTTAATTGTGGAAGAAAAAGCATTAATGGCATCTTTTGTGTCCTCCATGACTGCAGTACTAGTTTCAGAAAAATTATTCTACTGTAAAAATATGGGGCTTTTTTCTCATCTCTGATGGCTTCCAGTTTCTATGGTGCTTGTCTGAAAACCTTTTTTTTTTTAAAAATGCTCATGACACTTCTCCAACCTCTTTTTTTGCTACAGTGAAAAGATACCATAAGACAAAGCAATAGGATCATCTGTAACAGGCTATTCATCATGTCAGAAGACTTGGCCTCAGACACTTGAGTGTATACTTGGTTTTCAATAAGAAAAAAGGTTATTTTCCTCACAAAATATCCAGGTTTTATTTTCAGATTAATTATGAAATATAGCCCATTTTGCAAGGCAACAAAAGGACATTCTTAGGCATCTTTTCAGTTCATAGGATATGTTGATTTAAAGAGCCATTTTGAGGGATGTGGGACAGGATGTGAGATACACCACTGAAAACAGTGGAGGGGATATATTTTATCTGCTGGGTGTTAAAGAATGTGTTTCTACACTGGAGTCACTGGGATACGAGTGCAGCATATAAAGGAAAATTTAATTTTCAATGTAATAACCTATAGGGGATTCACTAACAAGATATTGCCAGATAATTAATAAGATACTAGACTTGCAGTCACACTGATGATATACAGAATGAGAATAGCAGGACTAAGCACTGTCTGTGCTACCCAGTCATACAACCTCATTCCATTCTCTGGTGGTGATATAGCAAAATATAACATCTCATCCTGCTCACCCTCCCAGTTGCAGGCATAAAAGACAACTGCACTCAAAGTCAGTAGAGAGAAAATGTCCTAGGAAAAATAATATAGAAGAAATACTGACCGAGCATTGAGACTGCATGAGCTTCCCTTGCCTGCCTACTAAGATCAGTTGCTGACAGCTATTTGGAGAAAAATACAAATCAATTGAAACAGAGACTTAATTATGAGAAATAAACTCATGAAGTTTTACTGTGATCTTTGCAAATAAGCAAGGAACCACAGACAGGAAGAGTAAAGTGTCTTCTTAGGTGAGGTCATGGGAGGATTGCTGAAGAGCTACTGCAGTGTCCTTTTATTTACTTAGCAACCACAAGTAGTAAGAAAAGCAAAGCCATGCAGAGTAAATATTACAGTGCAGAAATTCAGAGGAACTCCCCTCTGGCAAATGAAGCCTTAACCAAACTTTGTTTCATGAGGACGCTTCAGAGCAAAAGCTCTTACTGCTGGCAAAAGTAGGAGCTGGAGATCATAGCTACACCAGAGTCTTAATATTTTTCAGTTCTGGCCAAGTGTAAATGTGGGGCAAACATTTTATTCCACAGTCTGAAGCTGTGCCATTTGCTTTTTTGGGGTGTCCTACATGTAAACTTTCTTTTCATCCATTTTGACCTGCTGACTTTTGGAATAAAGAGGTTTTGGTCTTTTCTCACAAACGCACATTTTTAAAGTACGGTAGTTCTTTTTCTGGCAGCTGATCACATATTCATCCTGCTGGGCCACTCATCCTCATAACACCTGGAAATCCATCAGAACATGCTGATTTCTTTTTTGCACATGAGTGCAGATGTAACTGGACTCCGTGGGGACATGCTCAGCAGAAGCAAAGCGAACTCTGGGAAGCCAAAGCCCCAGGGTCTGCCAGAGTCCAAAACACATGAAACAATATCAGCTCATCTCAGAACATGATGCCCAGATGTGCATTCACATATTCATAATTTGTTTAACCGACTTCTAACTACTGGTGGAGGAATGTGGGTCTTGAATACTAAAGTATTGATGGTTTTCTTTTCCTTCTAACAAGTGCAGGAAGCTATCGTGGAGGAGCAGGAGAGCCGAAAAGAGGAAAATATTCACTTGACTCGATTCCTGAGGGTTCTTGCTAATTTCTTAGCACTATGCACGCTTGCTGGAAGTGGCTACCTCATCTTTTTTGTTGTCAGAAGATCCCAGAAATTTGCCCTGGAAGGTCTGGAGAACTACGGGTGGTGGGAAAGAAATGAAGTTCGTGCTAGCATATTTCTAACATAGATGTGATTTGAAACTGTGTTCTTCTCCTCTGCATGTTCCCTTCTTCTCCTGTGACTTTAAATACTCCAAGTGTGAGTGATAAACATCTAACAAAAGAATTGTTCTTGTCTCTCTACCTCCTGCTTCATTAAAATTATTCCTTGGCTGGTTCTTTCAAATGTCCCTTTGTATTTAGTTTTTGTTTGAGGCCTTTACCTTTCCTTTTCTGTGATCTTAAGATTGGTTTCCAGCCATTTACTGACTAAAAAGATCTCTTTGAGAGACCTGGTCTCCTGTTTCTTTCATCCTTAGACTGGCCCAAGCAAAGTGACTGGTGAGTGGGCATATCCAAAGTTATTTGAGGCCTCATGGATACGACTCTGTAGTGTAGAAACAGGATGAAAGTCATGCCTTCTAGTTCCAGCCACCCAGTCCAAGAGTCCAACACCATTTTTTTGTGTGTTTAATCTGCCCTTTTCCAGTGTAGACACAAGCCTGCCTGGTTGCAGTGTAGCAATAGTGATTGTGTATGCTACTGTAGTGTAAAGTACACACTTGAAATCAGTGTTGCTGTATGAAAACCTAGGCAAGTTTACTTTCTTAGCAAAGACACTACTGTGTATGTTGTAAAACTAGCTGTTTGTTTCTTAAAGCTCATCTTCTGAGTTGGAGTGTAAAGTAGATACCTTGTTTGAAGTATCTAAGGTAAAAGAGATGCTAGCTTCACAAAGTTACTGGGATGCATGTGTATGGAATGAAGAAAGTAAATCCTTAATTTTCAACGTCAAAACCCAAGTGAAAAAGTAACATTAAAAACTCCAGCAATTCACCTTTGAAAATCAGAGAAATGGGTCTACTGAGGTTGGGTTAAATTACCTGATAAAAGTTATTACATTTTTATCTGATGGGAAAGAAAAGCTGTGTAAAACCTGTTGGCTTAAAGCAACATGAGCTCCAAGTTGACAACAGGCTAGCAGATGAAGACATTTCAGGAGGATTTCAGCTTTCTCTTCGTTCAAAGACATGCTAACAGATTCGTACTGCCAAGAACTGTGCTACTGAAAGCTGTTATATTAGCTTATGCTGCAACCTGGAAAGTAGTTAAACACATGCATGTTTACATTCATTGTTTTACTTTTGTTTGCTCTACAAAAAAATACTGCTAAGGAGACTGTTTCACAGAACTAGGATCTGGAGCAGTTGTGTCTGTAAAGGAGAGTGGCTAAGGCAACTTTGCCATTATTTGATAAAGAATTTTTGCTGTTGTCAGGTAATGAATCTATTGTGAGGTATAAAATATTGCCATTTATTGCATATTAATTTTTAATTACTTAAATACATTTACCTTCTATGTGACAGCCATTTAAACATTTTTCATATTTTTCAGATGAAGCTCTCTCATATTTGTATGATTAATAAATGAATGAGAATTTAATTAGGAAAAAAACCTGTAAACACCTACTGTACTATTTAAAGCTAATGAAATTGCAGGTCTTACATACAATTCAAACAACAGTATGGAAAAATTCACATTCTTCATAAAAATATTAAGGTCCTTTTGTAAGAAATTTATTTTTACCACTCTGGATGTATTAAAGAATTAAAATGTATCTGCATGTAATTATAGTGTCCTTGGAGCAATCCAGGGTTTTATATCATCTCTTTATTTTATATCATCTCTTCCTGAAGCTCATAGCCTAATAAAGTGTCACTGGGGACTTTATGGACAGGACCTTTTCCTTTCTGACTATACTCCTCTGCCATAATGTTGTGAATTCTTAAAATCCCTCTCCCTGTTGGCAGCACCTAGTTCTGTCAGATCACAGTCCAGATAAAATTGTCTAGTATGTCATGGAGAGCAGGAAATTAGGGGAAACAGGCTGGCTGGGACGGTTAAGTGATTTCATCAGCTGTTGCATTGCTCCTCGTATATGTCTGTGGCCTGGTGGTTGGTCATGGATGAATGACATTTCTTCACTGTGTGACAATTTCTCCATGATTTTGAAAATTTTGGTAAAGTGAAGGATAATGACACTGATTCCCTTAGTATAGTGTTCTGAAATTGAATGAAAATTGCTGAACAAAATTTGCTTTCCTCATTTGATAGAAGATAGTCTGCAGAGCTAGAATGGAGTATGAGCATTTCTGTGGTACTGAGGTACCCTATTTTCTCAAATAAATCCCTCTACTTTTTAAAAGTAGAAGTACTTAAAAACAGAGAAAACTTAGGAAGAGACAGAATGATTTCTCTGAATTAGAATCATTAACAACATTCTGGACAAAGGGGAGCTAAGTTTTACACCACATCTTATTTTTTTTTTTTTCCCTTACCATCAATAAAAAAGTATAGCCCTAGGTGATCCTGCTCTGGCAGGGCGTTTGGAGAATATGATCTTTCAGAGTCCCTTCCAACCCGTAACTTTCTATAACTCTATGATTCTATGATTACAGTTTTTGCACACTGAAACAACCCTATGGGATTTTTGACAAATATATCCTGGTATATATTTATTATTTTTTTATTATCCTAGTAGTGGAGATGGAGTACATTTATATTGAAATTATTAAATCACATTCTTATTAACAGAATCACAGAATGTTACGGGTTGGAAGGGACCTCAAAAGATCACCTAGTCCAGCCCCCCTGCCAGAGCAGGATTACCAAGCATTAGTGAGAAATACAGTTTATATTTCTAATTTCTTTTTAAAAAATGATAATGGATTTACTAGAAGAACAAGTCTTTACTAGTGGTCTCTGCAGCAGCTGCTAGAGTAACCTATGCCTATCGTAATGATTGTTAGTGGAAGATATGATTTTTTTTAGACTACTTTTAATGAATTTACCATTTAAATAACAAGCAGTCAGTGTTTAATGCTTAGCGTTGTGTTGCCACAGTTTAATATGCCAATGGTCTGGTGTTTAGATGTGATTGCATTTATGGGATTTCTTACCAGATTCATAGCAGCTACAAAAGCTTGTGTAAGTATAATTTTCTAGCTTTCAGAGTGTAATGCAGAGACTTGGGATCTGGAGTAGATAATGTGAAAGTGAGAGAAAAAGCCGTGTTTTGAACCAGTTTTAATAATTAGTGGCTGCCTCTTGGTTACTTTTTCTGTCTCAAGGAAATTTCTAGGTCAGTAAGGCAAGAGAGTAAAACATTGCAATTTTGGCTGTAATAATTTCTTGGTTTTCAGCTTTGCAAGTTTCTGTGCTTCATCTTACCTTTTATCTTAGTAACATCTTTTCTACAGAATTAGAAATGCTCTTTTTTTGTAGGGAGCATGAATAGCCAAGAAATGACAAAATACTGACAGAAAATGAATGATAAAAAATATACTTGCTTCAGATAAGAGGTAAAAAGAACAAGATAGATAATAAAAATATAGAAAAGAATGTTCAAGAGAAAGAAAAGCAGTGACTTCTCTCCTGCCTCTTCCATGTCGCAACAAGGAAATTTTCTATAAACTTATCAGGTGCTATATTTAAAGCTACCCAAAGTACATACATTTTCTTCCAAAATACATATTTACTATGTCTTCTAGTATGAGAACTAAGGCACATCAAATTACTTGAGTAGAAACCCCATTCAGAAAAAGACAGTGGATGACAGTGCTAGAATGCCAAAATTTATATCCGTCTGAAGCAAGACTGATTTAAAACACAAAAGATAACTCCTCTGGGGGTTACTGTATATCTAAACTGCATGCTTAATGGAACAAATACCCAAATTGAATATAGTTGGAGTCTAGGACTTATTATGCGTACATATTTGACCTGTTCATCTTTGGGCATCTGTTGAGCTAGGCCAAAGTTTGGTGTGACCCAGGGCATCTCCTTGGATGCACACATTTGCCCCTAGCTCTTGCTACTTCAGAATACAAGACACCAGAGTCAGTCAGGATTATGGTTTGAGGTGCAGCAGCATCACAACAAGACTGAACATTTCTATTGATAAACAAGATATATAGTCTGTTACAATAAGTTTGAATTTCAAGAATTCATGATTGGTCCTGTTGGGTGTAGTTGACACCTGAAGTTTTGCCATCTTGGGCCACACTGGGAGTATAGTCTTTTTTTTAATGGTGAGTTAGACACTACATGATATTAAAAAATATCTACACACTCCTTATAGGGTGCCACAAGCCATGCATAAAATGAGTACTCATTGCCAACTAATAGAAAAATCCACTGATTATCTCTAGAGATCATGAAAAAACAAGAACAGAAAAATAACATCAAAAGTGCTATTTATTTGTTTTCATTAATAACACCAGTCTCATGGATGAAACTTTTTAAGAGAGGGAATGTACATATTTCTCAGTGAGTGAATTTATTGACATAGTGTCTTTTGACTGTGATATAAAATTTATAACAGTTCTAAAAAAATAGACTCCACCATGGCTGAGAAATACTAGTTTCAGTGCAATCAGAACACTAGAGTCCTATGAAAAACAGTATTTTTTTGTGATTAGACCAAGTACTTTTTACTTATTTTTTTACGTGATTCCACTCAAATAAATATTTTCTTGTGTGTTTTCCAACCACTTTTGTGACTTAGACTAGGACAATGGTTTCTGTATCTTTTTTGTTGGTTTTGGTCACTTAAACCAAATTTTTTTTTGTAATACAATTTTATTTTAAACTTAAAATGAATAGATGCACTCTTATTTTTTTTCAATTATTTTGATTTTTGGCTGATGGATTAGAACTGAAACATTCAAGTAGACTTGAAACAATTTTTAGCAATTGTTTAGGAATGTCACATTGCCAGAATGCCTCATTTGTCTGCAGAATTTATAGGCTATGCTGTATTTCAAATTATAAAAGCTAGTTACCTGTTTTTCTCAGTTTGCTTTCAGAAAACTTGTTCCTGCTAAGAAGATGGCTAATCTTACTAGAGTTTTCTAAGAAAATCAGACAGAGAGAAGCAGGAGTTATTTGAATTTGCTTATGCAATGAGGACATGAGATCCAAGAGAGACTAGAGAAATGGACAATCACCAACTCTATGGAATTTAGCAAGAGCAAGTGTCAGATTCTGCACCTGGGATGGGGAAATCCTGGTTATATGTACAAACTGGGGGACAAGAGGATGGAGAGCAGCCCCACAGAAAGAGATCTGGGGATCTGGGTTGATGGCAAGTTGAATATGAGCCAACATGTGCTCTGGCAGGCAAATGGGCCAACCATGCCCTGGGGTGCATCAGGCACAGCATCACTGGTCAGTCGAGGAAAGTGATTGGTCCCACTCAGACTGCACTTGTGTGGCCCCACCTCAAGTCCTGAGTACAATTTCAGGGGCCTGAATATAAGAAGAACATCAAACTGCTAGGATGTGTTCACAGGAGAGCAATCAAGATGGTCAAAGGTCTGAAGGGCAAGACTTATGAGGAACAACTAAAGTCACTTGGCTTGTTCATCTTGGAGAGGAGAAAGCTGAGGGGTGACCTCATTACAGTCTACAACTTCCTCAAGGTGGGCAGTGGAGGAGGAGGTGCTGATCTCTTCTCTCTGGTGACCAGCAACAGGACATGAGGAAATGGAATGAAGATGGAGCTGTGTCAGGGAAAGTTCAAATTGAACATTAGAAAAAGATTCTGCACCTAAAGGGTGGCCAATCACTGGAAGAGGTTTCCTAGGGAAGTGGTCATGACACCAAACCTGTTATAGTTCAAGGAGCATCTAGACAATGTCATATGGTTTAGTTTTATGTAGTCCTGTGATAAGCAGGGAGCTGAACTTAGTGATCTTTATACGCCCCTTTCAACTTGAATTATTCTGTGATTCTGTGACATCTAGAAATTACTTTAGGTGAGATCTCAGGTAAATTTAATTAAGTGTAGTATTTTTATAGGTATGCTTTTTAAAGAACATCTATGCATCTATGGGAAGATGTAGTAGAGACAATACTGGAAATGGGCTTTTCTAAGTTCTACGGTAGCAGAATTTTAGTTAAAATGTAGGTACTTGTTAGAATAACTAACATTTGATTATTTCAGAGGTTTAAGGGAAATGTAAAATGAAAAAAAGATCTCATATACCCACGTGCAGTAGACTATAATTGACTTTTAATTCCTTGTTTCCTTTGTGAAAACATCTTTTGACTCCCAGAGTAAATTTTGTTTTCCATTAAATCAAAAGCCAAATAAAAAGCAGTAATGGAAATACACCCTCACCCAAATCAATAATAATAAAAGAACTTTTCTCTAACATTTCACTGTAAACTTCTTTTTGTTTTTCTCCTCTCAGGTGAACATGGTTATGTCACTTTTAGGAATGTTCTGTCCAACTTTATTTGATGTAATCAGTTCTCTGGAAAACTACCACCCTCGAATAGCTCTAAGATGGCAGCTGGGACGAATCTTTGCTCTTTTTCTTGGCAACCTCTACACTTTCATTATTGCCCTGATGGATGAAATCAATCTCAAGGCAAGCTATTTACTTCGCTATTTTTAATAGATAGCTGGGTAAAGTTGAGGATTTCCAGCCCATCACGGGCATAGTGAAAGATGTTCTTTTCAAAAAAAAATAAGTCATGTCCATGCCTGAGCTGGTAATGGAAGTCCTGGAATACAAAAGGTTAATAGTTGGTCACAAGCTCATGTTCTTTTTTTTTTTTCTCCCTCACTTTATTTCTTAGTTGGAAGAAGAAAAGATAGTCAAGTATAACATGACAATATGGGAAGCCAGTCTGTACAATGGTACTATTCCAGAAAATTCAACTGCTCCTCCAATACAAGTGGACCCTGCAGATGTGCCCAGAGGACCATGCTGGGAAACAATGGTAGGACAGGTAATGTAACCGGAAAAGAGATCATAGTCTGTTACAAGATATGATACCTAAACCTGCTGATTATCTTCTAATAAATAGCATTAATGTTGGAAAATGTGGGGAAAAGCAGATGTAGGACATTTTCCTGAGTTAAAAACTTGCGAAAAATAAAATTATTTGAGTTTCTTTGGATGCTGTCTAGTAGGGAATTCTTTCTCTCAGTAGTTGACAGCACTGAAAGCATTTTTCCCCCCTCTTCACTGTTTTCAACATTTACTTTCCTCTTCCTCATCTCATCTTTGTCTTGCAAAAGATGTACAGCCAATTTGAAAAGCTTCATTCATCACAGCCCCTACTAAATGTGGTGACTGTGATTAGAATTTTGATGAAGCAATATCAGTTTCTGACTATGATAGACTTACAGAAAAGGTTAAAAAAGGAGTATCTCAACAAGAAAATCATAGTATCACACAGAATCATAGAACTATTGAGGCTGGAAAAGACTTCTGAGATCATCAAGTCCAGCCTATGACCCAACACCACCACATCGGCCAGACCACGGCACTAAGCGTGCTGTAAGTGAAGCAGTGACAACGAGCAAGGCGTTTGGTCTTCTTAGCGCATCCATGTGAAATGTTCTGACAGGCCTAAAACAGAGATGCTGAGCACTGAGAAACTCGGGACATCCTCTCTCCTTCCTTGCACTACATGTTCTTCTGCCTAATCCAGCCAGGGCTCTGCCGGGTTGGTTTTGTCAGCCTCGAAGCTTCAGGAGTTGAAACGAAAAGCCAAGTTTAGTAAGAGATTCCATGCTCAGGATGGCTAAAGAGAAGCCAGCTGATGAGGTTTCTTTGCCACACCAATGCTTAGTTTCACGCCTACATTCTTATCCTTCCTGCTGTTATAAAACTCTTATTGGACTGAGCAGCTGTGATACAGCAGTGACTCCCATCTCTATGCCTAGCTGGATTACATCTCTATCTAGCTAGATTACACTGAAGGAAAGATCCCAGTCCAACTACCGTGCAGCTATGCAAAATAAATTTCACAGGCCCTCAGGAGCACCAGAACAAGGTTTAAATTGCAGCGTTACGGTGAAAATTTCAGTGGGGTCTGCGGTCAGCAATGCAGCTGGCTATCAGGGAACTGGTGATACAGTTTGGAGCTCCAGCGTGCATGAAAAGCTGCTTAGTCCCTAAGATGTTCATGCAGCACTTCCAGGTGCCCGAGCTCAGACAGCAGCAACGCTGCAGAATGTGTATCAACACTCCGGTGCTGCATTTTTGCTTCCCGGTGGCGTGTAAGATAACACTTACAGCAGCTTTTGAGAAAGCATCTCTTCTTTAACCAAGTAAGGTTATGCAAAAAACCAAGTTGAACATTTATTGACCTATTAATATAAAACGTGATTTCCAAGAAAATTTCAAACATTCCTCTTTCTTCTATTTCATCATACTCTGTCGTTACTGATCTGTGCATGAGAAGGAATTCATCAATGGGTTACAATTTTTGCTGTTGCTCCATCACTGACAATCTCACCTCCCAGCTGAATAGATCACCAGAGAGGAGCACACAGGCAGGAAAACCAGCCCCTCTAGTCTTTTCACAGTTGCTAAATAGTAAGCTAAAGAACACCAAAAGCTCCACCGTTTTCTCCTTAATTTCAGATCAAGTAGAGTAATAGCCTTTTGTGATATTGGATAAGGCCAGTTACAGCAAGGTTTAGTGGGGCTTATTAAAATAAAATAGAGGAATGAGGATTTCCATTAGGATTTTCTTCTTTCATGTCCATATTCATTGGGAGTTGGTGCCCCTTGAGAAAGCAAACTATTCCCTTCTTATTTTACGTTATTAGTCATCCCAAAGTCAAAGAGATCAAAAGCAGTTTAAGTTACCAGCTCAGATTTCTTTTATAGCAGCAGTCATGGCTGGAAGCCTTTCACAGTCTAATCATACTCTGGAAGTCTCATCTGATAACATGAGCACAAATTAGAGCAAAGGAAATCTCTGGCAAACGCAGGGTGGTTTTTCTCCTCGTATTTTTCAGAATTGGTGAATGTAGAGGAGGAGCAAAGTCTTCTTCTAGTCTTGTATTTCATTGTTATTGTAATTATTAATTGCTTAAATATGATCCTAAAAGAAAATATTGCTCTAACAGGAATTTGTGCGGCTGACAGTCTCTGACACGATGACAACATACATCACAATTCTAATTGGAGATTTCTTGAGAGCTGTCTTTGTTAGGTTTTTCAATTACTGCTGGTGCTGGGACTTGGAGTACGGATTTGTAAGTATCCAATTTGCTGTTTTAAATATCTTTGTCAGATTATCAGCTCACAGTTTTACAATAAATTACATTTTCCTTTCAATCCTACAGAGTTAACACTTGGCTAGACAAATCATTTCGAAAGTCCCCTGAACAACATTGTGCTAGTTTTCTCAGACTTTGCTTATGCCTTAATATTTGTCTTATTCTTTAGACTTTACTCACTTGAGAAAATGTTTATGGGTTGATTTTTTTTGTTTGTTTTTTTCCTTATTTGATTGTGAAAACTGGGTACACATTTTTCACATATTTCCAGTTTGAAGACTCATTCCCTGTTCCTCTGGATATAACCTCATTTATTTCTGTGGGGTTTTGGATAGGACCTTCTAGCACACAGTATTTGTGGAGAAAAATATGATAGAATTTGTTATAGAAATCTTATTAAATATATTTTTTGCTGTAATTAATTTAGCTGAAATAAAATTAGTAAGTCCTGTAACAAAAGCAGGTGCTGAGCTCTTCACTTAGAATCATAGAAGGAAGAGACCTTGAAGATTATTGAGTCCAAAACCTTGTCCTAGCCCAATCAGTACCACTAAACCATGTCTCTCAGCACAACATCTACCTATCTCTTAATCATCTCCAGGGATAGTGACTCAGCCACCTCCCTGGGCAGCCTGTTCCAATGCCTGACAACCCTCTCAGTAGAGAAATATTTCCTAATATCCAACTTGGATCTCTCCTGGCACAACTTAAGGCCATTTTCTATCACTCGCCACTAAGGAGAACAGACCAACCTCTGCCTCACTACAACCTCCTTTCAGGTAGCTGTTTACAGCTATTGCTCTTTAGAGCAATAAGGTCTCCCCTCAGTCTCCTCTTCTCCAGGCTAAACAGCCCCAGATCCCTCAGCTGTTCCTCATATGACACATGCTCCAAATCCTTTACCAGCTTGGCAGCCTGCCTCTATACCCTCTCCAGAACCTCAATGTCCCTCTTGTAGTGAGGGGACCAAAAATGGGCATAATACTTGAGATGTGGCCTCACCAGTGCCGAGTACAGGGGCATGATCACGTCTCTGCTACTGCTCACTGCACTATTTCTGATATAGGCCAGGATGCCGTTGGCCTTCTTGGCCACCTGGGCACACTGCTGGCTCATGTTCAGCCGGCTGCCCATCAACACCCCCAGGTCCCTCTCTGCTGCCTGGCAGCTCTCCAGCCACTCCTCCCCAAGCCTGTAGCGCTGCTGGGAGTTGTTGTGGCTGAAGTGCAGGATCCAGCATTTGACCTTATTGAAACTTACGGAATTGGCCTTGGCACTGCAATCTAGTCTATCCAGATCCCTCTGGAGAGCCTCCCTACACTCAAGCAGATCAACACTGTTATCCAGCTTGGTGTCATCTGCAAACTTACTAAGAGTGCACTCTATGCCTTCATCCAAATCATTGATGAAAATATTAAAAAGGACTGGACCCAGTATTGAGCCTTACTGGTCACCACTTGTGACTGGCTGCCAACTGGATTTAACTCTGTTGACCACAACTCTTTGAACTAAGCCATCTAACCATTTTTTTTACCGAAAAAACTTATGCCCATCCATGCCAAGAGCAGTCTGTTTGTCCAGGAGAATGCTGTGGGCAACAGTGTCAAATGCTTTACTAAAGTCAAGATGGACGACATCCACAGCCTTTCCTTCATCAAGCAAGAGGATCACCCAGTCATAGAAGGAGATCATGTTTGTTAAACAGGACCTACCCTTCACAAACCCATGCTGACTGGGCCTGATCATCTGGTTGTCCTGCATGTGCTGAATAATGGAACTCAGGATGATCTGCTCCATTAGGTTCCCTGGGACTGAATTCAAAGTGACAGGCCTGTAATTTCCCAGATCATTCTTCCGGCCTTTCAGTTACATTGACTGACTGATGATGGACAGTGGCTTGGTGAGCAGCCCTGTCAGTTCTCTCACTGGGTAGTTGAGAATTTCACTCTTTTACACAGAACTGAGCTAGGTTAATTTATGCAGCTAGTATACCTACAATATAAGGTCTGATGCTGACAGATAGTAGTCAGGGTATTTGTAAATCTTGTGAAGATCCTCACTTATAGAAATGTAAGGAAAAGTATTAAGTCATTTAAAGCTATCTTGGGTACATCTGTGTGATCAGCAACTGTAGATATTCTGCCATTCTTTTGTCCTCCTTTCCTCAAGTTTTTACTTCATATGTGTACAAATTTCTTGTTTTACTAAAAGTAGCCTCTGAAGAAATGATAATTTTCCAGAGGAAGAGAAAGTTTTCACGTTTCCTATAAAAAACAGTTTTCTGCTATACCAACCTCATTGCTATGGGCTAGCTCTTACGAAATCTTGGCCTTCATAGCAGGTTTACGTTTCTCCCTGTTAATTTTACTGTATGTCTCAAATAAGACTGATGTACATCTGGAAGCAAAGACTACCAGCTGGCTAGATTGTGGACAAAGAAGTTATAACCTTGAAATATCAAAATCAAATACAGGAATTTGAATACAACATGGGCAGAGAGCCATCACAGCTTGTGGAACTATGTGTTTTCATATACTTAAGTTGCATCTGGAGCTTCCTCACATTTTCTGATGTTCCATAGCCTTGCAATAGGTACAGTTTGATGTGAAGAACTCATGAATTATTGTAGTTAGTGCTGTATCTAACATATATAACTCGGACGTGGTATTTTCCAAAGATGCTGAAGTGATAGTCTTGATCTTTTCCTCTTAGGATATCCACAATCAGCGGAAGAAACCGAATAAATGCAAGCCTGAAAGCCATTCTGAAGACTGTAGGACAGACTTTTTACCTAGAGTGATTTGGCTTCCATTTGGGCTTCATGAATCCTCTTCTGTCTTGCTATTTACTCTGAACCAGCTGCTTTTTATACAGGGAACATTTATTGCATGACCTGCCCAGCCACAGATGCCTAGTGTTATTTGAGATCCTCCTGGGTATCCTGAACAGCTGGATGAGGCTACTAGATGTATACTTTGTGAGATGTTTTCTGTTGTTGGGAGCCACACAGTCAACTGTAGGGCAGTTTGGCTTGTACTGGAAGTGCCAGTTTTCAAGTAAAGACACATACATTCCTCTATTAACACTTCAGACTTAATTTTTGCTCTTTGTCTTTTCTTGCTGTTAAGGATGTTAATGGAATATAAAACTGTAATTCAAGTTTTCAAGCCTGTAAAGGCTTACCACATGAGAGAGATGCTCCAGTCCCCGAACCATCCTTGTTGCCCTCTGCTGGACTCTCTCCGGTAGTTCTCTGTCTCTTGAACTGGGGAGCACTGTACTGGACACAGTATTCCAAATGTGGCCTCACCAGGGTGGAACAGAGAGGGAGGATGACCTCCCTTGACCTACTGGCCACACACTTCTTAATGCACCACAGGATACCATTAGTCTTGCTGGAAATGAGGGCGCATTGCTGGCTCATGGTTAACTTATTGCCTACCAGGACTTGCCAAGATCCTTCTCTTTCCAGTAGGTCTACCCCTAACCTATCTTGATGCATGGGGTTGTTCCTCCCCAGCTGCAGAACCTCACATTTGCCATTGTTGAACCTCATTATGTTCCTCTCTGCCCAGCAGTCTAGCATGTTCGGGTCAAACTGGATGGCAGCACAGCGCTCTGGTGTGTCAGTCACACCTCCCAGTTTTGTATCACATCAGCAAACATGCTGATGACGCTCTTTGTCCCCTCATCTAGGTCATTAGTGAACGTATTGAGTAAGATCGGGCCCAGTACTGACCCCTGGGAACACTGCTGGTTAGAGGCCTCACAACTCTCTGAACTCTGTCACTCAACCAGCTCTCAGTTCACCTCACTCTCCATTCATCTAGCCCACACTTCCTGAGTTTCATGGAAATATCCACCATTGGGAAAAAGGTCATCTGTAACAGCATATGAAAATACGTAGACATCACTTGTGTCATTGTGTGTTTCTCCAAAAGAGCCAGAGTTTTTTATTTCTAGGAAAAAAACTTTAGTTGCAAGTGTGGACTAAAGAGCTGCACAGATATCAACCTTTTTTCTAGTTATTCATCCATATACAAATAAAGGACATAGAGAGAAAATGAGCAGCGAGTGTAAATCTCACAGCACCCACACAAGGGCTTCATCGTGGAAGCTATGACACATTTATGCAGCATTGGGGAGCATTTATTTCCATGATATTTTATTGTCATGAAAGTGGCAACAACACATCTACTGGTAGTGAATGTTGAAACCAACTTACTATTGATATATTTATTTATTTGGCAGTAAATAAGTATGATTGTAATGGTCTGATCCATTATGGTCCTCAGATCCAGTAAGCTGCCTGAAACAACAACCAGAAGTAGAAGTGTGAACTAGAAATTATTGAATTTCTGGAAATACCTGAGCTAAAACTATTTCGCAGGAATTAGCTATACACGTGTTGCTGTGGTTAGTGCTCATTATGTACCTATCATCCTCTAATTTTTTGACTTTTTTTTGAACCCTAAATATTTTTCAACAACTAAAATGTCCTCTGGCAGAGAATTCCAGGAATTAACCTACATATGTGTGGAAAATCAATTCCTTTTGTTTGTTTAAAAATTAAATTTCAAATTATTTTATTCATTAATGCTAGACCTTATGTTCTGAAAAAGTCACACATTATTTGATTATGTATAATCTTATTCATCTCTTCATGTCACTTAAAATATTGAATCCCTCTCTACAGCTCCCCTTAGTCAACTGCTTTAAAAGTTGGAACCTAGTAGTCTGAGATTTCCATATATGGAAGCAGATTTATAAAGATATCCAAAAGAAATAGAGCACATTTATGTTCATGTATTTATATATACACAAAACTATACAGAATGGGTGTAGGAGTTCCAACTATTTCAACAATATAACATAGTGCAATTTAAAATTCTGACTTTCACTGGTGATTTTAGTAGAAAAATTTTGTCTTGGTTCAGCCTTAAAAGAATAGCTTTTTTGTATCTCATATACCTTCC